CCCCCGGGCAAAATGCCTCCCCCTGCCGTCACCGCTGCTGCTGCTGCTGGCCGGCCTCGCCGCGCTCGTGATGGGTAAGGACCACGCGGTGCCGGCGCTCCCTGGGGCACGCGGGACGGGACAGGGCAGCGAGGCCCTGCGGCCACACACACGCAACCATCCCCCTCGCTGGCAGATGGGTGTTTTATTCATCTCTTTGGAAAGGCTAAAAATCACTGGGTGGCCCTCGTGGCTGTGGGGTGACCACAGAGGAGCTTCTGCATGGTGCTCCCAGCCTGGCCGTGTCCCCTGGGTTTCGTCTCTATGGGTTTTGCTACCCTCATGGCATTGCCTTGGCTGCCTCAAAGAGCCCTGCGCGGGCAGCAGCCCACGCAGGTTCACATGGGCCTGGAAAAGGGCAAACACTGCCTGAATATTTGCACTGCAAACAAAGCCGCAGCGGTGCTTATTTCCCGAGGAGCCGCCGGGCTCCTCCGCCAGCTCCCAGGCACCTAGCAGGTCCGGGCAGCACACGCGCCGTGGGTCGCGCCGGCCCTGCGGCCCCCAGCAGCACGCGGGGCTCGCGGGGCTGCAGCATGTCCCTCGGCTCGCCCCCGAGCTCCCAAGTTGGGGTTTCGTTGGTGCTTCTGTGCAGTTCAGTGGGGCCGGTTTTCCCCGCTCGCATTATTTATGCCTCTTGTTATCAGTTCCTGAATATCTGCACCAGAGATGTTTGTATAAGCTCCTGATGAGATACCAGCGTGTCTCGTGGTAACCAGTTCCTGAACAGCTGCTCTTCCTGTTGGACGAGTTTGTTCAACTTCCTCCAGGGATGGTCCAAGGTGGTGGAACGTGACTTATCTTGGAGGCCACAGGGAGTTTCTGCCCCAAGACTAGAGATATCCATGGGTTGTTCCTGGTTTGTCAGCCTGGGAGACTTGCTCACCCTTCCAGGCAGATGAGCCAGCGGCTGTTATAGGTGACGTGCTGCACCTCTATGCCTGGCACTGTGTGGTGAATCCCCTCTCCCGCCATTTGGTGGCTCCGGGTCCCTTAGGGAGCTCAAGTGTGGTGGCGATGCTGGGCCGTGTCTGGCACTGCCATGGTTGCCGCCTTTCACGACCAGCCTTTGCATGCTTCACTCTCCAACCTCTCTGCAGGGACCACAGACGTAGATGTGACAGTGAAGACACCCCTAACTTTCTCAACCTTCTCGAGACCCTCAGAGACCTCAGCGCTTCTGCTCACCACTACCTCCACCAGCACAGCCACCACTACTCCCTCCAGCTCTGAGGTGGGATCCTCCACCCCAGAGGAGAGGTCCAGTATGTCCCCATACACCATCACAGAGAGCACTGCGACCACTTGGGGCAGCAGCCCCACAGCATCTAGTGTCACCATAGCGACACACACAGAGACCTACAGCTCTGCCAGTTTGCCCTCTGGTACCACCACAGTTCAGATGGCACCTAGCACCACAGGAAGGAGGAGCACTACTGATGCCCAGCCTTCAATCACTACAGCTGTGACATCCACTGATGCTGAGACAACAACCCACACGTTCATGGGGACCAGCACAAATCCAGGCATTGGCTCAACCAGAGACAACACAAACACAATGCCTCCTTCCACCTCTTCTCTTCTTACTACTACCCTGGAGAGCACCACACTTGCTGGGAGCACCAGTGAAGAGCCATCCACAACCTCCCCATTTCACAGGACATTCCAGGAGACCAGTAGTGTAGCTCCCACTACCATGACTACTTCTATCATGACAGAAGAGACAGCTACTTCAGCTGGGTCCTCGACATTGCTGGAAAGCACCATGACTGCCTCTGTCACCAGCACAGTGGTTCCTGAGAGCAGCCCCACTGCCACCCAGTCAGAGACCACAGCTGGGACCACCTCTGGCAGCTCCACCTCAATCTCAAGGACAACGTTGGACACCACAACAGCACCTCAAGCCTCAAGCACAGCAACAAGTGAGTACAGTTGAGGGGGTACTTAGAGACTGGAGACACACTCAGGGTTGTGTGTGAGGATCAGATGAAGGATTTCCAGTCCTGCTCCTGATGGGTACCCAATTACCTCATCCTGGGCCTCGTGTTCTGTGTCCTCTGGCTGAGGCAGAGACAATCTGCACGCCTGTCTCCTGTTGCTGGTCCCAGGGTATTTGCCACCTCTCTGTAAGCATCTGGGCACTGAAGAGTCCTGGTACAACTCAGATGCAACAGCCTTCCAGAGAGAGTGGATCAGGCACCCCATGCTAGTACACAGCAGTCTGAATGTTGGTGCCATGTGTAGGATGCCAGAATCACTGGCAGATACAGCTTGCTGGGGAAATGCTGGCGAAAAGTCCTGCAGAAAAAATTGCGTGATCATATAGCAATAAAAGCCATCAGCAGGTGGGAAAATACAATGCCCAGTTCCCTGCTGTGTATGCACTTGCCAGCGCTCCAGGAAACGGGGACCTGGCAGCAGAGGAGGCCCTATTATTTTGGTTAGTCCTTTCACACCTCTAGAAACTGTAGGAGCATCTTGCATCTCTGCAGGCACCGCTGATGTAACCTCACCTTACGCATCCACGGAGCTCTCTTCCCCTGTCACTAACTCAACCCCAAGTCCAGAGGTTACCATCAGCACCACCGCAGATGAGCCAGCGACACCTCTTGTCTGCCCCAGCGCTGCAACTAACACCAGTAAGTGCTTCTCACCTTCTAGGGCTCCAACCCTCCTCCAGCTGGGCTGACAGAGCTGTGTGTGTCCTGCTGCTGCCTGGGTGCTGCCATCACCCCAGCACTGCAGTAGCCATAGGGCTTCCAGCAGCCAGTATGTGAGTGTTCAGGTCGGCCTGTGGAGCCGAGCGCCTTTGCTGTGTTCTTGGTCTGGAGACACTGATGCCCTGTGAGATGTGTGCTGGTCCCTTGGGAACATTCGAGGCAGGCAGCAGCCTGAAAAGCAGATCTGAAAAGACCTGCCAGCCTTGAATGGTGGAAGGGAGACCTCTTCCATACCCCCTCCCTCCACATGCCCATCTTGAGCTCTCTCCTGCTGCCAGTGGAGATGGACAAAATGAGAGCAATGCGTGTTTTCCCAGCTGTGTTGTAGGTGGAGAACAGCAGCCCTGTTTTCTGTACACAAGGAGGCTCATTCACCTGCCAGTGTAGGGGTACATGACATTACCAACCTGTGGTCTAAGAGAAGGGCCTGTGTGTCTCAGTGTCAGTTCTGGACTGGAGAGCTGGCATCTGTCCCCTTAGCTCCCTCTGCTTTCTCATCTGCTTTGCTGCATAGCCTTGGACAAGCCATTTCATCTCTCCATGCCTCCCTGTACCGTATGGATGTTGATATAAATCCCACGTGGGGACAAGGACTGTCTCTTATGACCAACACTGCTCTGGAAGCAGGGTGCTCTGGTCCCTGGGAGAGTGCTCCAGATTTTGCCACAGTGCAATTGAAGGGTTGGAAAGGATAACAAGAACCACATTTTCTGTTCCTAGATGCATCTCACCTCTTCCTGTCACTGCGCTTAACTGTTCCCCTGGACCTTGAAAACTCCATGGCTCAGGAGCTGATTTTGTCCAAGGTGAGACCTTCTAGAAGTGCACTGAAGAGCAGATGCCAGTTTGCATCTGCCAACCAAGGTAGGGTAAGCAGGGAGGGAGTCACAGCCAGAGCAAGGAGAATGGCTGTAGCTTGCATTGAGTTTTACCCTGAGCCCTTTCAAATGAAATAAATTCTTTTCCTGGCGGGAAATGGATACCAGGGAGCCCACCTAGGCTGTTTTTAAATGCTGTGAGAGTTTCATGGCTGTCCTCTCTCTCCAGCTCCGTGGAGATCTGCAGACTGCGTTCCCGTGCGCCGGCTTCACAGTGGCGTGGAGAGGGAAGAGGAGGACCTGAACGCTCTCCTCCCAGCCTGAGGACCTGCAGGGCAGGGACCTAAGTAAATTTGCAAACCTTCTGTCAATTCCTTAATCCACGTCGGTGTGCCTTTCTAGGGTAAGACAGGCAGACATGCAGCTCCTGATGAACCCCGAGTTTGATTTAACGCTGCATCCCTGCCTGCCAAGGACCAGCAGTACACCCTGCACCTCACTGCTCCCCTGGGCTGGGGTGGTCCCTGCCATGTCCTGTAGTCCGTTGCATCTTGCTCCGTTCTGCAGAGCTCAAGCTCTCCTATGGCCTTGTACCAGTCCCGATGTCCACTTTTGTGTCCGTTTGCTGTCCCCTGGTTCTCTCAGGGGGCTGGAAGGAGAGAGTCAGGCTGCCCATGAGACCCTGCAAGGGCTGGGCTTTCACGGCTGGATTGGCAGAGGGATGGCTGAGTCATAAAAGCCACCACTGGGGCTGATAAATAAGAGAAAGGAAACCTGGAGATCCTGCTCCTGGGTTAGTTAACACTGGTAGGTGGCAGGTCTCCATGTTGGTAGTAGTGACCTCCAAGGCTTTGGAGCCTGGAGATACTGCAATACGAGAACCTTTGGAGAGCTGCTGCTAGATGGGAAGAAGTCAGAGGGCTGCTTTATGTCCGGAGCGGGGCCAGGATGGAGTATGGGGGTGGCTCTGGGAATGAAACAGAAGAGGAAATGAGCCCCCCTTCTCCAGCTGAATACAGTCCTGGGGCCAGTCATGCTCTTCAGCCCTGCAGTGTGGAGGCTGAGTGAAAATGAAGCTCATCACCTCTCCCCCTGGGTCTGCCTGTGGTATTGGTAATGAAGCAATGCACTCAAACCAACGCAGGCAGGGGGCTAAAGAGAAATCCCACATTTTCTATGCAAATATGATGACTTCTTTTTTTTCCAAGTTGCCTTCCTGGATTTTTGGCTTTGCTCGCCAGCAGAGGTACAGTGGAGAAAAAGCAACTGGATCCAACTGAGAACCAAATGATCTGATTCCTCCTTAGGCACCAGCAGTGGCCACCATCTAGAATGAGCTCCTGCACAGCTGGACCTTTATTTATGTGCTTCCTTCTCTGAAATAAATGATGGGCTGGGAGACTGAAATTTCCCCCAAGCGGAGTAGGTGATTTTCTTACCCAGAACCCAACTGCAAGGAGCTGGGTTGGGGGTGATGGGCTGGTAGCCCCCAGGGAAACTTGCCTGGCTGCAGATCTGATAGAGTGAGGGTGGGAATGGGAAAAGCCTTTCCATGTGGGTGGATCTCGGCCTCCAACATCCAGTCTCTGAACAGGCCCAGGGCTTGTGGCACCCCCTGCCTCACTGCTCTCTGGCCCATTACAGCCCTCCTGCTGCTGGTGCAGCCGTGTGCACAGTGGGGCCGTGGAAACCCCACAGGCTGTGGTTCTCCCCTTGTTTTTTTCCCAGTCTCCAGCCAAGGAGATGGCTGTAGTGTCTGTCCCCCTGCAGCAAAGTCATTTATTAACTGATTAATTGGGCAGATAAAATCAAACTGGAGCAATTATTACCCTTAGTAAGTCACCTCATGGGGAGATTGAAAACTAAATTAATGAGCAAAATAGCTGTGCTGTTCTTAGGGGTTATTTTTGTCTGATCTCTTTGTGCAGCCTTTGCTTGGGCTTACAGTCTATGAGGCCCTGGAAAAGGTTGGTGGCAAAGGCAGGTGAGAAGGTGCCAGTCCAGCTGGGATGGTGCACCTGGGATGGCGAGAGGGCTGCAGGAGGGTTTTGATGGGAAGCCAGACTCAGGGACTCCAGTCCCCTTGAGTAATTATCCGTTTGGGAAAGAAGCCAACAGCGAGGCAGGATGGGCTTTGAAACCATCCCACGTTCTGTTGGCTCCGGCAGTCACTTTGGGACCCTGCCTGTGCTGTGCCATGTCCTCCTCTTCCTCACGGGCTGCCCATCACCAGGGACGATGCTTCTTCCCCCTGGTCATGTTGCCAAAGGGGCCACTGCTTGGAGCTGTCTGCAGGCTGCCTTGGGGATGTGCTGCCGTCAGCCTCTGCATCTTTATGGGGCAGAGGGTAAGGCTCGTTCCTCAGGAATTTATCCGGTTCCTGGAGATGTATCCACCTCCCCCTCAGGAAAGGCGGAGAGCACAGCCAGCCCCGCATCCCGGATGCCCCTTGCATCCCGTTACTCCAGGGCTTTGTCTGACTTTTTGGAGCTCTTGCTACGGCTGTCAGCACCATGGCACAACTGGTCCCTGAGACCCTGGAACACCTGGCTGAGGTGTGCAGGCAGCCAGGGAAAAGGGTGCTAGAAGGGATGCCCGAGCCGGATGCCTGCTGGGGTGCTGGGAAATGTTCCTCGTGATCAGCCTACGCTGTGGAGAGAGGCCAAGAGTCCTCCCACGCCAAGTCCCACCGGGCTGATTTCTCCGGCTGCTGAATCCATAACTTCAGACCCCAGGACATGGAACGGGGCCAACGCTGGGATAATGGAGCCAAAGTACGTCACAAAGGGAGGAAAAGGTCCTGAAGTGCTGAGATGAAAAGGTGACTGGGGCACTTTACTATCCCTGACCGGCACAGCCCCTTCCCAGTGCTGCGGTGATGAGGGAGTGCAGGACAGGAGATGCTCCTGTCCTGGTGGGTCCTTCCCTCTCTGGGCCCGGGATGCAGAGCAGGGATGCGACTCTGACAATGCTCCAGCCTTGGGCACCCAGGGATGGTGAGAGGGCTGCAAGGGGAGCCCTTCCCAGCGCTGCCAGATGCCCGGGGTCTCTGTGCTGGCGATCCCACTGGAGCTGGACACCCCTGTGTCCCGTGGCTGCTTGCCTCTCACTTTCCATGGACACCTGGCTCCTTCAGGGACCATTGGGGTCCTGAGCACAGAACTACCCAGCAAAGGGGCATCCTTCCAAGCATCTGCTCCCAGCTGGGAGCTGCTGGTGAAGGGGAGCTACGGGGGCCCTTGGCGCCCTTCACTGCTGAACTGCTGCCAGCTGCACCACGCAGCCGGTCCCGCTCTGGATTGCTCTGGCCTCCGTGTCCGGGCACGGATGTCTTTTTGGGTTTCTTCCTCCCATGCCTCCCCAGGAGGATGGGCTTTGGCTGTAACCAGGGCTCTGTGATGAACTAAACAGACTGAGCTGGGGAGGTCCCCCACAGCCGGGGGCTTTTCCAGCCCTTAAATCGTTTCTCAGTCTCTTTGCTGTAGCCCACAGAGCAGCCGCGTCCCCTAGAGCCGCTCTGCTCCCCCTTGGGGCTCCTGGCTCTTATGTGCCCAGAGACAAAATCCTCCCAGGGCAGCTGGAGCGGTGTCAAGGGGCCGCTTCCTGAATCACCAGCCCCTTCTGACTCAGGTGGCCCTTCCAGCGTCACCCTCTCCTTCATCCCTGCCTGTAGCCATGGCATACCAAATGATCCGGAACCGGCAGGGTTGATGGATAACCTGGTCCCCCTCCTCCTCGAAATGCCCTTGTCGGGACACCGGAGCAGACCCATTGAGTGACTGCTCACCTCCTGCACCCCGCAGGGCTGCTGCTCAGGCCCAGCAGGATGCTCTGTGCTGGCATCTGCTGCCTTGCTGCCCTCCAGGTTTGGGCTGCTGAGCGAGAGCGCCTGCTCCCATCCCCAAAACCAACCTTTCCCTGGTTGGCCTTCCTTGATGGTTTGGGTCTGAAAAGACTCTGCTGTCACCAACCCAGAAATCAGACTCCTTCTACAGAGCTCAAGCTTGATCTCCTCCTTCTTATCCGTCTCTGGTGTCCCCCCTGTGTGGAGTCCTTTGGGGCAGGTTCATGCACATTTGCCACTCAACATCCTGTGGAGTGACCTGGGAAGATCCTGCTCCCTCCGCCTGGTCTCACCACATCGCTGCCATGGGGAGGGTGCCCTGGCCAGCCTTGGACCACAGTTACCATCCTTGCAGGAGCCACTAGCTTGCTGGGGACCTGCTTTTTGGGCATCACAGAGGGACCTCGGAAAGACCCTTTCCAGAGTGGGGATGGGACACTAACCTCATGATGAAGGATGGTCAAATCTGCTGTCACAGAGCTGTGGGCTTTCCCGGAGTGACTGGAGTACAAGGATGAGCTTGGTTCGACACCCCATCCATGCATTTACTCCAAGGTCTGACCAAAGCTAAAGGAACACCAGGGAATAGGGTTTTTGAGGGGCAGCACTGGCTGGAGGAGCAGCCACGAGGGGCTCCACTTGGTGTTGGTGCCAGTGCACCAGGTATGAGCTTGCAAGAGGTTGGAGAGCAAGGCAGATTGGAAGCTCTTCATGCCAATGGAGCTATTTCACCAAGCAGAGAGTTTACAGTGACACATGCGGCTCCTGCTGCACCGGGCACCTCAAACAACTTCCTCCTGCCACAAGCTAATATTCCTCTTTGGCATAGGTTTTCCAAAGCAATATGGGGTCGTCAGTGCTGCCTGAAGATATAGTAAAGAGTTCTGCTCCCCCAAGCCCCAGTGTGACAGCTGCCCAAACAGTCCCTCACCACGTCGTCCTGCCGGCCGTGCCACTGCTTCAATGCTGTCGGTGGGCGTTCGTTCCAGGCTAGCGGTGCTTGGTCCTGATTTATGGAGTGTGCCCTGCTCCTGGGCTGCCGCGCCAGGGGCAATGCGTGGGTTTGTACCATGGGCACTCATCGACCGTGACTTGGCTTCCCTTGGCATTTCCCTCGGGAAGGCTGCCTGCCTGGGATGTGTCCCTTGGTGTGCCTTGACTCGGCTGCCCGCTTAATAAGGGGCAGGCTCCAGTGGGACACTGTGTGCTCAAAGCTCTGGGGTTGCAACACCTCTAATAACACTTTGCAGGCATCGCTTGGGGCATTTCTGCTTAAGAAGCGTTTAATTGATTACAAAAGCATGTAATGGTGGGTGTTTGCATAATGCTTTGCACTTGGGGAGCTCAAAGGACTTTGCAGGCAGGGAGCAGAATTGCTACAGCTGGGGAAAGGAGGGATGCAGAGGAACAGGGATGAGGTGAGCCAGAAGCTGAGCCAGCAGTGGGGAAGAGGCACCAGGACTGGGCCTTTCCCCACTCTAACCACTGGGGAAACTGGTCCCACCTTGCAGTGGAGCTTCCCTCCTGCAGCTGCAGCCACCCAGCGCTGAGGTGTTCAAGTCTGTGCTGGCTGCCCGCACTGGGACCCCAGTGCTCCCAGTGGCAGCTGAGGGATGGGTGCCCCAGGGCCTGTCCCCAGCCCTGCCCCTTGGGGTGTGCGAACCTACCCGAGGCCCCGAAGGAGCAGGGAGCCAAGCAGGAACTTGAATCCTGCCTTGCACCAGGGCAGGATCCCGCTGGGTAGCTGGTCTCGAAGCCCAGAGTGTCCCCGTGGGCACTGTGGCGGGTTGCTCTCTGCGTGGCAGCTCCCACACTGATGCAGCAAACGCCAGGGCACATCTCTGCTGAACGGGGCCTTTCCCCATGCGCCCTCCCGCCCCCGTCCCTGCGGGAGAGCAGGGCTTCACTCTGTGCCCCCGCTGGCCCTCGGGGCAGGGTTTTGCAGGAGGGGAATGGTGACAGGGACGTGGAAAGAACAGGGGGGAGGGAGGGGACAGCGGCTGCAACCTGCCTCCTTTAGTCATCCCTATAAATAGGAGGGCCCAGGAGCAGGACTACACCTGAGGAACTCGGGCAGGGACGAGGTTGCCCTTGCTGCTCTTGCCTCCCTCCAAGCCTTCCCAGCCGGGGAGGAACCTGGGGCATGGGGACCAGAGCATGGATGCTGCGCACCTTCGTGGGATGCTGCGCGTGGATTTTGCACGGTACGTCCTCTCTTTCCTTCCCCACCAATCCTCTAGTGCTCCCTGAGCCAGCAGGAAAGGTTGTGATTACATTGGAAGCTTTTCCTATGAGCATCACTTGCAGCCAAAAAGCGAGGAAAGTGTTTCTTGGACGGGCATCTCCCTGGCTTTGCAATGAGCTGCAGCAGCTGCAAGGCCAGTTTCAGGCTGCACCTTCCTATGGGAGAGATGGGAGCCCAGACCAGGGAGCCGGCCATGCTGCCACGCACCCCTCCAGCCAGGAAACCGAGCGGCTGCCTGACAAACCAGGTCTGCCAGGGGTGCTCTGGTCTCTCCTATGCCCTGGGGAAGAGGGAGGTCTGGTGCTTGGTGCAAGGCTCCTCTGGCAGAAACTTCCTGTGAATCTGCAGCTCAGGTCAGCAGTCCACAGGGATGGCGTTTCCTGCTGTCCATGGAAGAGTTAAGTAAAAACATGGATATATAGGGGTGGAGCATGCCAGGCTTACCTAGGGGGACACAACTGCCTTGTTTTGTTTTCCTTGAGTCAAGAAGGGAAGCAGCTGATCTCTGGCTGATAGGAAAGCGCTGGTTTTTGCACAAGCCTTAGCTCAGCAGGCGAAGATGGGGGAAGTACAGCGGGGCTAAGGGGAGGAAATGGCCTGTCGGAAAGGGAAATGGGGGGCTGGAGGAGGATGGATCCCATGAGGATTGGTCTGGGATAAGAGACAGTTTTCATTAACAACTTTGCCGTCAGCAAGCTAACGAGCTGGGCTAGCAGTGAGGTTGGAGGCATCTCCAGTGCTCGGGGGATCTGTCTCCCTGGCAGGGAACCTGATGAGCTGGAGTGCCAGGGTGAGGAACAGGCTCGAGCTGTGGGGATGGTGCTGAGGGCACCGTCTCACCCTCAGGGTGGACTTTGTCTCCCCTAATTGCAGCTACATAAAGACAAGTGTCAACAGATCCTCTAGCTTCCTCCCAGAGCCAGCATCCCAAGGGTTGCATCCCCATCCTGAAAGAAGACTGGGAGCTGCTCGATATTTCCTCCAAGTGTACCAGCCCCCTTGGTTCTTGATGAGAGCATTCAGTATTAGCCCGTCTCAGGGACCTGGGCTGGAGCACACAGGCTCAGCCCCAGGAAAGGATTGATGACTCTGGATAAGTGAGTCAGAAGACATTTTGCAATAAATAAATGTTTCACTGAAATATGATTTCTTACCTGCCAAAGAGCTTTAAGGAAAGTGCATTTTAATTTATCCCAGATATCCCAAAAGTGCAAAACTTATGAAACAGAAAGGCTCTGCAGAAACAAGTCTGTTCTGAGGTATGCCTGCAAAGCGGATGGAGTACTAAGGACTCTCCTAGGATTGCACTTTAAAACGCTCGTGGGAATTTGAACTAGATTTACAGGTTCCCGGCTCTTCCAAGGTGACCGCCAGTCAGGGCCATCCCTTCGTGGTGTATCTGGGTTGGGCTGTACCGTCCTGCGGTATCGAGCACTCTGCAGCCCCTTGTGCCTGTGCAAGTGCCTCTCCCTGGCCTGGATTGAGCTGTGTCCCACCTCAGCTGGCTGTGCTAATGTGGCAGGATGCAAAATGTTGCCACGTTGCGTACATGATAGCCTGGATGGTGATTCTTGTGCCTTAAAACAGACAGCATGTTGGAAGGTGGCAGCAGGAGAAAACAGGGCTTAGCAAAGCTCCCTGCTTTCCTGCCGGTCCCCTTAGGTGTTTCCCAGACCTTGAGGCCAAGAGGTGACAGCCCTGGGCTGCAGAGCATCCCTGCCCTGCTCCTCCTGGAGCAGCATCCGGCACTGCTTGGCTGCGGGGACGTGTGGGGCCAACTGCTCCTTAACCCGGCTCCGCTCCATTTCTCTGCAGGTCTAAATGCTGCCGTTGCCATCCCTGTCCCCACGGAGGGGCCACTTGCTACGGGCACAGTTTTTCCCTCCGCTGTGGAGAGCCAAGCGCCCCGTGCCCTGGTGCCGGGGACTGCAGAGATGAGCACCGTGGTGCCTCTGCCGCCGGCCACCACGGCTGACGTCCCTGCCTCGCTGACGGATGGCCTCCTCGGTGGAGGACCCACGAGCCCGGCCTTCGCCACCGGAGCAGAGCTGAGCGACATGGCAACAGCAGCCACTGCAGCAAGCGAATATAGTCCCCGTTCAATGGCAGGGAGTGATGCTGAGGCCAGTCCATCTCCTTCAGAGCCAGAAGAAACACAGGTGCCTGCCGGAGACCTCCAAGCTTTGACAAATGCTACCAGCTCTGTTAACGTGTCTCAGGAAAATGATGCCGCAGCTGCAGATGCTGCCTCGTTCTCCACACATGAGCCCCTTTTCTCCCGTGGTGCAGAGCCCAATATCATGGGAGCTACTCCTAGCACATCCCTTGGTACTACCCTGGCCTCCCCACAATTTGTGGACGTCAGTAACAACGTTTCAGCATCCCTGACAAGAGAGGGAGCAGGAGGTTTGGAGCCTGTTCCTGACACCACATCTGTCCCAAACTTCCCTTCCCCATCAGCTCTGGGGACACAGCCAACACCCAGGGCCATGGGGTACCCTGCTGCCAACAGCCCCTTGGGTCTGGGCATCACCGCGCTGCCAAGCAGAGAGCTGGATACGGCCACAACGGGAGTGAGCAAGGAAGGGGTAACCTTCGCTGTGGGTTTCCAGAGCAGGGCAAGTGCCCCTTCGTTGAGTCCAAACCCTGGGGAGCTGCTTGCAACACAGCAGGACGAGCAGGCAAGTGAGGTCACCCATGTCACCCAGGAGCCATCAGGAGAAACAGCCCCAGCTGCTGAGGAACGTCCTGCTCCTCTAGGGGCTGGAAATGCAGGAGACGCACCAGGTGATGCTCTTGGTGCACCTGATTTGTCCCATCCGTCTCTGCAGAGCGAGACTGTGTCAGGAGCAGTGGGAAACCCAGAGGAAACCTCCCGCCTTGCTGGCAAGACAGAGCCAAGCCTGGAAACTTCACTAGGACCTGACAGGGTTGAACAGGGATCTCCAGGGGTGGATTTGGACGGTCCTTATTCAGCTCCATCTCCTGCAGCTAGTGAGGTGCTTGCAGCCCCTGCCGAGCCTGATGTGAAGAGTGTCTCCTCTTCCCCGGCCACGGCAGCGCTCCCAGCGCGCACGGCACCGCTGCCTGCAGGGACTGCAGCTATGGATGAGCCTTCACTGCTCCCTGTCCCATGGGATGCTGCTGCTGGAGGTCTGCCATCCTCTGTGGACATCCCCAATGGCTCCTCATCCTCTCCTGCCTTTTCTAGCACTGCTGACACCCCTCAGCCGGCCCTGGATGCTGTGGCCAGCACCCTTTCTGGGGCTGAGGATGGAGCAAATGTGTTGGCAAACCCCAACATCAATACTTCTGTGTCTCCATCTCTTGGGGAGTCTGAGCTACAGGGGATAGCAGCTGGTACTTCTGAGGGAGCAGGACTCCCCTCAGAGGATGAACCAGGCACCAGCTTAAATCCAGCATTGGATGAGCCCAGCCTGGCATCCCTTGGACCTGCATCGCCTGTCCCTGAGGGCTGGCTTGGCACAGGCCCGGGACAGCCAGCGGCAGAGGGGAGTGAAGCTGGTACAGCAGAACAGGCACTAGGAGGAGTTGGCAGTACCGCTGGGGATGAGCCGTCCCTGAGCTCTGCTCTGGTCAGTGAGACAGCAGCCGGGATAGATCAGAATACCAGGTCCCTATCTGGTCCTGCCTCTTCCAGTGTTGTGGCTGCAGCATCCTCTGCTTCAGAGATTGATGCAGGCACCAGCTCCAACCCAGCACTGGATGCCTCCAGCTCGGTGTCCCTTGGACCTGATGGACCCAAGTTACCTGGTACTAACCTGGGGCTGCCGGCAGAGGAGGGGAGTGAAGCCGTCGCAGCAGAGCAGGCCCAAGGAGGAGGTGGCAGTGCAGCCGGGGCTGCATCGTCCTCAAGCTTCATCTCAGGCAGCGGGACAGCACTTGGGGCAGATCAGCTGCCTGACACTGGGTCCCCAGCAGGACCATCTTCTCCCATTGATGTGGCTGCAGCTTCTGCCACTTCAGAGACTGATGGAGCAGGATCCATCCTAGAAGCAGCTCCTGGCCCTGATGGTCATTCCCAAGCCTCCTTGGCCAGCGAGGGTGGCCCAGACCTTGTTGCAGGTCTGGGGGCTGAGACTGCTGGGGCTGTGGCAGAGACAGAGACAGGAAATCTCGTGAGCACAAGCCCTGATATAGACATGAGTCTTCCAACCTTCATACCACAACAGGATCCTGCAACTCTGGGAGAGCTGTCAGCAGGAGAAGCCAGAGCTTTGACAGATTCTGAACTGTCCCCTCCACCTCTTCTCAGGAGTGGAGCAGGAGAGGCAACAGCCCTGGGAGAAAAGTCCCTGCTTGGTCCCGCAGCTCCTGGCAGTGCTGGCCTGGATTCCGATCTTGGAACAGACGCACATCAAGGCGGTTTGCCCGGCCAGCCTCCCAGTGCTCCTGACTATCCTCACCTGGCCCCAGGTGCCAGCACCTTGCCTGGGGCTGATGATGGAGCAGAGACAGCAGCAAGTCCCAACCTTGGTGCTGAGACCCTGTCCCTTGGAGGGTCGGAGCCACAGGGGACGGTGAGTGGTTCTGCTCAGGGAGCAGAACTCTCCTTGACCAATGGACCAGGCACCAGCTTCAACCCAGCATTGGATGCCTCCAGCTCGGTGTCCCTCAGACTTGATGGACCTGCATTGCCTGGTGCCAGCCTGGGGCTGCCTGCAGACGAGGGGAGTGAAGCCGTCGCAGCAGAGCAGACTCAAGGAGGAGGTGGCAGTGCAGCCGGGGCTGCATCGTCCTCAAGCTTCATCTCAGGCAGCGGGGCAGCACTTGGAGCAGATCCGCTGCCTGACACCGGGTCACCAGCACCCCATGAGGGGGCTGCAGCGTCCGCCATTTCAGAGACTGATGGAGCAGGATCCATCCTAGAAGCAGCTCCTGGCCCTGATGGTCATTCCCAAGCCTCCTTGGCCAGCGAGGGTGGCCCAGACCTTGCTGCAGCTCCCGCTGATTCTCCTCAGCTGGCCCCAGGTGCCAGCACCCTGCCTGGGCCCGAGAATGGAGCAGAGACAGCAGCAAGTCCCAACCTTGGTGCTGAGACCCTGTCCTTTGGCGGTTCAGAGCCGCAGGGGACAGTGAGTGGTTCTCCTGGGGGAGCAGGACTTCCTTTGGCTGACAGACCAGGCACCAGCTTCAACCCAGCACTGGATGCCTCCAGCTCAGTGTCCCTTGGACCTGATGGACCCAGGTTACCTGGTACCAACCTGGGGCTGCCGGCAGAGGAGGGGAGTGAAGCCGTCGCAGCAGAGCAGGCCCAAGGAGGAGGTGGCAGTGCAGCCAGGCCTGCATCGTTCTCAAGCTTCATCTCAGGCAGCAGGACAGCACTTGGGGCAGATCAGCTGCCTGACACCGGGTCCCCAGCAGGACCATCTTCTCCCACTGATGTGGCTGCAGCTTCCGCCATTTCAGAGACTGATGGAGCAGGACCCATCCCAGAAGGAGCTTCTGGCCCTGATGGTCTTTCTCAGGTCTCCTTGGCCAGAGAGGGTGGCCCAGACCTTGCTGCAGCTCCTGGTGGTTCTCCTCAGCTGGCCCCAGGTGCTGCAGCCAGCACCCTGCCTGGGGCTGAGAATGGAGCAGAGACAGCAGCAAATCCCAACCTCAGTTCTCCTGTGGTCCCATCTCTTGAAGAGTTGGAGCCACAGGGGATGGTCGGCAGCACTTCCAATGTAGCAGGCCTCCCTGGAACCAGTAGACCTGGCTTGAATCCAGCATTGAAGGCCCAAAGTCCAGCATCCTTCAGCCTGGGGGGGCCCGTGTTGCCCGTCCCCCCGGGCTCTCCTGGCGTTGGCCCAGGACTACAAGGAGTGGAGGAAAGTGAAGTCGACATGGTGGATCAGATCCTGGGAGGAGGTGGCAGCACAGCCCGGGCTGAGCAGTCCCTGAGCTCTGCTCTGGGAATCAACAAAGCGACCAGGACGGATCAGCTGCCTGATGCTGGGTCCCCGTCTGGGCCTGCCTCTGCCAGTGATGTGGCTGCAGCATCCTCAGATTGGGACAGTGTCAGTGTGAACAACCTTGGAGGAGTTCCCAGTGCTCCTGGCCTTTCACAGCCTGCCTCGGGGGGTGCTCCTCCCTCAAGGGGTGTTCAGCCTGAGCTCCCTCCTGCCACAGAGGAAGCAGGTGAACTGGCCAAGGCTGTTCCTGGTGAAGGAGCATCCCCTGGGGAGTCCCAGGGCTCTGTTGCAGACGGAACATCTGTTCTGGAAGCCTTTGATGGAGCAGCAAGAGCTGTGGAGCACTCTGCACCCTCTTCTCTATCTGTAGGAGGCTTTTCATCATCTGGGACAGCCAGCGTGACTATGGAGGGGACAGGCCTTCCCGACGCCAGTGGAGGAGCCGGTGGTTCGAACACAGCTGTTTCTGGCCCAGGGGCTTCAGGTGCTGAGAGTGCTC